CAACAACACCACCACAGGTCACAGCTTTGCAGGGAGGAGAGGATTTTTCGGTTTCTTAGGGAAGTTAGCCCAATGTTTGTGTGCTTATTTTAGTTCCAGTAAAGGGATAGGCTGATATTCAGTGGATTACCATTATTTGTAAAACAATTTCAAGGACTTAAATCCCCTCTGTTTCCCTTCTGAAACATAAAAGCACATCTCTAAAGCAAAACCTTTTGGGAGAAAAGATGTATTACCACTTTAGTTTTGGAAGGCCTTAATGTAATGTGGTGATTAGTTTTAGAAACAATGGTTACAGACTTCAGATTTCTTCTTTATTCATCTTTCTTTCTTTCTTTCTATCTAATTTCTGGCCTTCTAATAACCTTAATGAAATGATGAGTAGTTTAGAATATTATTAAATAGCTTTCATAGGATAAAAAATTTCTGATTACATCATGAGTACAGATTATTATATATTCCATTAATTTTAAAATTATGATTAAGAGGATAATACCAAAAAAGATGTTTGCAACAATTTTAACTAAGCTGTGTTAATTGAGTTAGGGGATAAGAAATGAGATTTAAAGGGTGAAAAATGACTGAAATCAAAGTCTTCATAGTTTTGAAATCAAGTGGATTACGAGAATGGTCAGAATGGAGGAGGTGGGGGGGTGGTGTCAAAATCTGAATGAGTGGTTTGAGTAGAAAATTCACTTACTTTTAGGCCATGTGTACTGCTTTTCACAAAAGTGATTTGCAATGGTGCCTGATGTCATGTGAAAGGTAAAAAATGCCTGCTAGTTATCAACAGGATACACGTTGCTCATTGTCAGGCAAAGGTATGCAACAAGAATGGACACAGAAAAGTCTGCTCAAAAGTTGTCACACCTGGCAGCTCTGCATCCACTAATGTGCAGAAGCACAGCAGATCAACCTCCAGCATGCCTGGGTTGGGATCACTGTCCAAAGTGGTGCATGGAGTGGCAGTGACTTTGTTGCCTTTCATTTAATATCTCAAATGTGGGCCACTGTTGTCCTGATCTGACATTTGTTTGTAACTACTATTTGTCAGCACAGCATGAATTTTTACCAGGCTATTTTACTTATTGCTCTGAAATACTAGTTGGTAGTTAAATGCCACTTTTCTGGTTACCATGCTCTTCTTGGTGGCCCTCTCCCAGATTCTCACCATTCAGAGGACTTTATATGCAATGTTCACACCTCTCCACTTGAACATAGCTCCAACCTATCTGGAAAAGGCAAGACTTTTTTACCTCTGCTCCTTCAACATTAACCAGAGAGTAAATGAGTAATCAGAGACACACACATGCTGGGAGAACTTCTGGAATCATCTGTACTTATGAAAATTACAGCACCCTTTGCAGTTTCCTTCTGGGGATGTGAGAGGAAACTTTGCAGTTTCCTTCTGGGGATGTGAAACAGACTTGGGAGAAGGACGACAGAAAAGCAAATGAAAAGCAAGATGCAGAACTTAAGTTACCAGTAAGGGATGATGGAGGCAATATGCCTTTGTTTAAAAGATTGACACAGGTAGCCTGTTAAGGACAGGCTAACTCATATGACCAATATCAGATTGGCTATCACATATCTCTTGCTTGCACATGGGTTCCTTACACTCAGTATGTGCTGCCTCCTTCTTTGGCATGTTTCAAAAATTTTATACTGATTCAGGGCATAAAGAGAAATCTAAACCATCATATGTCCCAATGAAGCTGGGGAAAGACTGATTACAAAACATCAGCTCTTGAACCCCAAAGAGAAAAGCACAAAATGAATTTGAATTTAACCAAGAATAATAAAATACTGTAATGACTGATGGAGACATTAGTATTGCAGGCTTAGTAATGTTGGTTGAGATTTAATATGTACCTCTTTCTTTCAAACTTTAATTAACAGCTTTAATTATTTAAAGAAACAAACAAACAAACAAACAGTGCATCCTTAAACACTACTAAAAAAAAATAAAGTCATCATTGATATTTGAAAACAGAAATAAAAAAGAACATATTGCATTCACACCAACTACATACCAAGCAGAATGTTAATAACATTAACCTTTACTCTATCAGATATTTTCAAGAAATACCACTATATTTTTTGCAATGGCTCATATCTGTCATTTAACTGACATGTGAACTTTTCTAAGTTTGCCAAATCACTGAGGCCTGAATACCATTCAGCAATGTTAATTTTGTTTTCCTATTCGAGCTTTTACACAATTATTCTCATGGCAGTCATTCTAGCCTTGAGTATAAATAATACTTCAAGTGGTTTGTTGATATCCAAAAAATGATGTGTATCTACATTAAGAGACTCTAGAATCTAATGGGAAAACCATGCATATTATTAAGCTGAAATGCCTGTTTCTTTCCTCCCAGATGGGAAGTAGTACAGGGTAGTGCCATGGCATATGCATTAATTTTATTCCTTCCGCAAATTTTAGCACATATTATTTTTGCAGATTTTGAATCTCTGCCTCCCACCCAGTATACAGGAGAGTTAAAAAGGAATTTGCTGCAGGGAAGATCTCAGCCTTAACAAGGGCCCTGGATAACTCTTAGGTGAGCTGAGGAAGAAGAGCATGGGAACAGTTCTGCTTTGGAAAAGAGTAAGAGAAAAAAATGAAAGTTTGATAGAAGGAAATCCCGAGGAGGATTAACAAGGGCAAAAAAGAGAGATAGAGAGTATACTATTTTCCTGGCTCCCACATTTCAATCTTACAGACTGGGTATGCTGGATCTGAAGGTTCTAGCATTAAATAAAGGGCACATTTAAAATCGGGATTACAACCAAAGAATAATGAAAAACACAAATCCCAATATCTGTTCATCAGTGTTGCTACCCAAATAAAACTTAGTCTGTAACAGATTTCTCCCTAAGTCTATGGATCTCTTGCAAATGATTTTCCACAGTTTCATATTACTTGCTTTTCAAAATTCCAGGACTTTTCTTAATTTTTCTTGCTTTTCAGTCCAAAGGGCCTTTTAATTTCCTCAGGATCTGAGAAAGTGAAAGCAGCACACTGTAATGCAAGCTGAATGTTTGTGTGGGAATAAGCTGTGTGGGAGCATTTTATAAAATTGTGACTGTTGGTGTTTGCAGATGTGCAAGCATAGAATGGCATCATCTCTAAAGACTGATGGTCTAAGGAGAGGTAGGGCAGTACAAAAAGACTGTTTATTTATCTCATCAGTATTTTTCTTTTTGCAGCTTTACTCTCTGGGTTCCTGTTAATTAATCTTGGTATGTGTTTGGACTTCACAACCTGTGCCTATCACTTACAAGGACTTTTAAGCTAACATCAGTTAATGGCTGCAGAATCTAGAGTGGGTGTTGAGTCTTGAGGGGAGCCCTGGGTAAACTTGCTCAGAGATGTGGGTTCAGAATGGTATTGTCCTTTCACGCTGGTTCAGCCAAAGGCTGCAATAAAGTAACTACTGTATTTAGATTAAGTTACTCTTGCTATTCCATAGTCATAGGAAAATGATATCTAGAGGTGAGCATAGGGATGGTGAAAAGGCATGTGCTCCACAGCCTACCATCAATGCAGCTCCTGGGAGAAGCCCAGCCTGCCACACATGCACGATGCAAGCTGGCTGCCTGTGCCTCTGCAGAACTACAGAGAGAGCCGTGGTCCTTTCCACTGTATAAAGGCTTTCTGAATTGATGAATTGATCTGTCTCCTGAATAAAAGGAGGTATTATGGCAGATAGGCACACACTGCTTGATTTGAGCATCACAGTGCCCAGCCAGATCTGTGTCAGCTACATAATATATTCTAAAAACACAGATCTGTTGGCCAAGCACAACAGTGCATACCTAGCTGCAAATCGACACAACATTTAATATTTTTAGTATCTGCTTAATCCATCTTAATTTTAATTTGATGCAATACCTTGGTCCTCTCTCTCTCCACTGAACAACTATGGTCAAAACATCTATATTTTAGACATCTGATTTAAGTGCTACCACTAGATGGGAAGAAGTCAGCCTTTATTTCTGTAGTCCTTTTTTTGTCTTTTTTTTTTTTCCTCTTCTGATCAGCACAGATGCAGTTTTCATCAGGATAACTTCTGTTGTGCTTGAATTCCTCTTTGTGTGGTTCCCAGCATTTCAGACAGGCACTGCAAGTATCACACCCTTCTCTGGTATGCTATTCCCATGGCAGAGAGAGATGGGTAATGTTTTCTGAGCTTCTTCCTCTATTTTTATTCTTCCTCTATTCCTCCTTTTCTATAGAGGATCAAAATGGATTATTTTCATCTTGACATGCAAATGCCTAGGCTGTGCCCTTGGCTGAGATCTCAGCATTGACTACATAAATGAAAGATATGGGAGCAGCAGAGTTTTAATATCGTATATGGAAGCGGCAGACTTATTTCTTAAGGAAAAAAAAAAGAGAAAAAGTTACTATAGTCCTTTGTGCCTTGCAAAAGAATTAAAAAAGCCTAATAAAAACATTTCCTCATGCACTACTGAATACTATATTCACATGCAGTCATTGGTCTGCACAGAGGCAAATGAACATTGTGTGCAGCTCGATATCTTATTGTTGTACTCAGATCTGCCTGTTTGCCATGCCAAAAGTATCAATGGGAGTAAAAGACACATGAATAATTTTACCAAGTCAGATTATACCTCCAAATATGAACATTTAATAACTGATGGAATTATAAAAGAAATAGGGAGGATTTCTAAGGCTGCTTGAGAAACACTTACAGAGATAAAAAGGTAAAATTCTTCACCCATTTTCACTCCACGCAATAGCAGTTAAGTAAATGAAATAACATGACCTGCAAATCAGTGCAGGATATGACTCTCAGAACACATCAATACACCATAAAATTCATCATGTGGTTTCATGTTAACATGAAAGAAATTGTGTCTGACCTCGAAAGCATGCACACTGGCTCACTGTTTCTAATTATTATAATATTCTTTTTCTGAAACTGCAGCAGCAAAACACTATCAAGAAACTGCCTCCTGGCTAACATTCTCAGCAAACCCTCATGGCTATTTATGCAAATGAGCAGCCCAACAAGTAAGTTGTTAGCCTAAATGAAAATTATAGCAGATAAAAATTTTCAGCCTGGGAACTGAGCTAACAAGGAAAAGAATTGCATGAAGCTGACAGCACAGTTTTGAACATTGGGAAAAATAAAGGAAAGCACAGCTACTGGAATTAACTCATGGGACTGAGGCAAACAGAAAAAGTCCACATCCATTGTTATGTTGCACATAGCTAATGAGTGCATATGCTTTAACACACTAAAACTCAAGACAGTGTTTATGGTAGGCAGTGAATTAAGCGTGGACTGACAATGTAGCAGCATGGTGCTACTGTTAATTGTCCTTGCTCTTTACTTCCCTTCAGGAAAAGTGTTTGGATGGGGTTAGGCAGCCTAGATGCATTCTTCAAAGCATTCCAGAGGAGTAAACAAGGTATTTGTAAGAGGCTGGGGAAGCACTCTGGCACAAGGTCCTAAGCTGGCTGAGTGGGGCGAGGAGTTGGAGGAGAAAGTTGATAAGCCATGCTGGGCTTGTTCTGCAATGTCCCTGGCTGCTGTTCAGACTAAGGTCTTGGACACAGCCCACTGACAGGCCTTCTGCCAGGAGATTTTTTGCTATAAGAGTTTTGCTTAGGTAGGATTTTATTAGTAAAAATTGTCTCAATCCTCCTTTTATAAAAATCTATCCCACCTTTCTCTTCTACCCCAGGACAGGGAATATTTTGTGTATATATCTGGGTGAAATGCACAAACAAATTCATTTCCCATGGATAATATATTCAGAGTGATTTGCTTTTCAGAGTCAGAAGCTCAAAATCATGAATTTATTATGCAAAGTAATAATTGCAAATTATATTGGCAAACTACATTCCAGAAAAAAAAGGGAGTATTAATATAACTAAAAGGATTTTAAAAATACTGGCTCTTAACTTGGGGCTACTACAGATATTTTAGGAGGTTGTATATCTCTGTTCCATGTAAACCACCAGAGGCAGTAGCTTTCATTTTAAAGGTCTGGTGAGATACTGCAATTAATGGGCCCATCTAACAGCATATGTTGTGCTTGTATTGAGTAGTAAGACATGGAAAAAAAAAGAAAGAAATGCTTAGTGCCATAAAAATTTGCATCTCTTTCTAGTTCATTTTTTAGTGCAAAGAAATGAAATATATCAGGGTCAGATCATGAAAGGATTTGACTCCAGTTTTTGGGTCAAGCTAGGCTATGCCTTTAGTGGGATAACTGGACAGCACATTTTGACTTTGTGGGTCTTAAAGAATCTGAAATGCCTCATTAACAATCCCTTGGAGAGATAGAACACTTCCCAAGGGTGACTGGAACAGCCCAGCTGCTCCATGTGAAACTAGGGGCAGGTGGTTATCCCTCCTTCAAGATGCCCACATGTTCCCTGCCTGGCTTGGTCCTTTGTGGTTATCAGCAGAAAGGGGCACTGACAGCTGCCAGAGTCAAGATCTTTAATGCAGTGCTTATCAGCTAAAAGAGATTTATTTGTTCTCCTGGATCTGTATGTTATATTAGGAGTACTCACAGGATTAATTTGCAGTCGTGGTCTTCTTCACAAAAACCCCACAGCTCTCTGCTGCTATAGGAGCATTTTCCTCTCTGGCACACATGTTCCATTAGAAAGCATTCTGAAGTAGATAATGTTATGCAGGCTAGTTGAGATTTGTGGGTAGTTATGACAAAATTAAAGATAATGTCCTTGTAAACTTTACAAATAACGATTGCAGTACTTACGGTGTAATTTACAAATATAGACCATCAGAAAGTAGCAAAGCTTGTCAAGCTAAAACTTCAGTGATATTTTTTTAATTTCATAAAATAATTATGACCTGAGTGAGTGCAAGGATGGGATTCAGGGATTCAAGTGCTGTACAAGTTTGTTTCTGTCTCTGTCACACATGCTGGCTGCACTCTTGAGAGAGTATAGTGCTTCCCTTCCCATAAGGGACATGCTTGAGAATCATTTTCTGCTACCAGCCCAGGAGGAACTTATTCAGGTTGTGGTGTGAGAGTGCCCATGTAGCTAGGCTTCTAGGTCTAGGCTGCCAAATAAGGCATTTGAGGCATTTAAAACTTCACCTGGTTGTAGTTAAAGCCTTAAGGGATGTGCCTTTATGAGGTGGGGAGAAGAGTGATAGCTGTGCAGCATTTTCAAGGGACTTTGAAGACTTAGGAGCTGTGAGAGTTTACAACCCACTGCAAGTTGAGAACAAACTATCTAACCCTTATTATCTTTTCTTATAGTGTGCCTTATTGATAGTGATTACCATAAAAGGGGTTTCACCTTGTTGAAGAAGGTCATTAAAAAAAATATGTAACTGAGATGTTTAGTGTGTAAATACTGAATTTAAAATTATCCTTCACTGAACAGAAAACTATTTTGCTTTTCAAGCAGAGCAAGAGAGATCATGATTCACAGATCGTTTACACAGACCCGAGACCAAGACTGACATGTCTTTGGACTGAAAAAGAGGAGCAGTCTGCAGCCTCCAGCCTTACCCAGCTGTGTTATCAATAGCACTTACAAAGGTAAGCCTGCTCCTCAGGTATCACAGCATAGTTCCTCCAAATGGAATCATACTGTAGTACAGTCTTGGTCTTTCCCATCAGGTGAGGACACAGACTGATAAACTCTTTCAAACATGTAGTAAATCTAGCTAAAAGCACAGTTAAAATTAGAAAAGGGAATTGGAGTTCAGCAGAACTCAACAAAGCTGAATAACTACTCAATTGAATCCAATTCTCTTGGTATTTGTAGACCTATTCTTGTGAGGAATAACTCACTGTTTTGGGAACTACTTTGGGTCATCCAAATCATGCTTGATGTGGCAGTGTTTTGATATGGTTTGGGAAGTTTCTGTCACTTTTTCATGTTAGTGAAATTACTATCATGACTGATGACCTCAATAGCAAAGAATGACGTGTTCTATATTTCTCCATCCACTGATACAAAGAAACTTTGCCATAAGGTTTAGAAATAAGTCTTGAAATACTAAAAATAGTTACAACTGATCTCTACATGCCAAATAAATGAACATTGTGCTGAAGTGCATTGCTATTAGGCAAAGCTAACAACAGAGGCTCTAGTATGAGCTGAAGAGGCTCAGGTTAAAAACTATGTTGGTGGCTCCCAAATTGTGTCATAGCAATAATGCAAGAATGTAAAGCCAGGTCTGTATTTCCTTGCTAGGGTCTCAAGTCTGATTTTGAAGCTTCAGTTGGCCCTACTGCCTTGAAAACTACAGAATAGTTGTTTTTTACTCTATTTTAACCTTCAAAATGTTTGGCAGTCCAGAGTCCTTTTTCTGCTGGTGAAGGAGAGAGATCAACCCACCACTGTGTAAGAGAGGCAGGCTCTGGGTTGCTGACTTCTGAAGACACCAAGGTGACCTGGACTGAAGTGCATCCAAAGCTGATACCATGCAGGTGGCTCCAGCATGCAATCCACAGTGCTGAGTAAACTGTACACATTTCCTACCCTGCCCTTCATAACCTGTTCAAAACAGCAGACAGAAGCATCTGTTCACTCAGTAGACAAACAATCTCATGAGTGTAGATATTTTCAGCTGTTTTTTGTTTGTTTGTTTCTCATAAAACTGAGAAGGGAAATACTGTTTTCTGTTAAAATATTTTGGGAAGAGGGCAGAAAGTGATAGTGCCTGCCCTCTTCTTGTAGTGCAATAGCCCTATTGTCAGAGCTGTCACAGAGGAAGAGGAGACACGTGGGTCCCATTTCCCCTTCTGCCTTGAGCTGCTCAGACCCTTGTTTCCTGCCCTTTAGAGAAAAGGCTCTAGTCAACGGGAGGATTCAGTATTCACCAAGAAACCAGTGAGTGAAGATGAAAGGGAGCTCATGGCTTTAGGGGTCAGGGAATCCTTTCAGTTGCACTCTCTGCTCCCAGGATAATTTCTGTTTATTTAAAGACTGCCTCGTGTAAGCATACACAGCCTTGGGATGACACAGTGACATGGTTTCACTGTTTTCTGCTGACCCACATGACATGAACTGTGCCTTGCAAAAAATGTATGGAACACACATGTTTTTGTTGAATAGACATTGAAGATATTCAATTGACAGAAAAGAGTAAGAGGAATATAAAATAGCACTATTTGAGATAAGGAATTGTACTGAGAAGGTAAAACAGGTTCTTTGTTTATCCAATCAAGAAAATAAGTAGTAAGGAGAAAAAAATATAATCAAAGGAAGTTTTAATTTTCCTTCTCTCTCTCTTTTTTTTTTCCAAACAAAAACTGCAATTAACCTGTTGAACTAATTACTACTAGGTGTAACTTAGGCCAAGAGATTAGTAGGATCCAAAAAGGATTACACAAGTATATGCATAATGAAAATATCCATAAAGTACAATAGGTAGAATATTATCTCAAACCCTTTTAAAGAATAGCTTACATCTTTATACCAAGTGAATCCTATGTACCTCTGTCTAGTCAAGGACCTTGTGAAGCACTCCTCATTTTATCCAGGTCTGTACTTATCTTCCTTACAGAAAAAAACCCCAAACAGTAAAAGAAGTCAGCTAAATTACAATACACTCCTCTGCATTATTTCTGTTCCAGGGGAGCAGCTGTTTTATTGCTCAGATGGAACAGTGATTTTACAAATTTGTGTGATACTTATACTTCTTATATTAGCATTTTTACCTTATAACTAAAATTCAGCTCTGGTAAATAAAGGGAGAAGCATAATCTGACCACACAGCTAGGAATGAAATGTTGTAAGAGGAAATCCACAACAGTGGAAACATAATTTTCTATTATAGGTGTACTCCTACTTGCAACAGGAGTGAGCTGACAACAAAGGTCTTTGCAGAATAGCTTCCAATACCAATAATGCAGTGGGAGATATGGACAGCTATCATATTCCCTGTGTGTCATTTCATACAGGCTGAGGATAAGCCTTTCCCCTGCACTCTGTTTTTAGGTGCACAATGATGCTTGGAAAATCAGAGAACATTTCAGGGTTGGGGTATTCTTCCTCCTCTTTCTGGACTTAGATATTTAGAAATTAATAAGTACAGGCAGATCTTAAAATAACTGTCAAGGTTTTATAATTGGTTTTAGTGTCTGGGAGGCCATAGAAGTTAAGGGAAGACTTAGTCTTGCATTATATTAAGTAAATAATTATTTACTGTCTGTAGTAAATGTCAAATCAGAATTTCATTTGAATTTATATAGTCTTTTCCCCTCTGATCTCTTTTTTGCTGGTCTCTTGAGCCATCTAAATTTTCCCATTCCTGAGGAAGGCTGCCCTTCTAGCCTCTTAATGTGACCCTAGAGGTGAGAAGACCAACTGGTTTTCTGTTTGCTGCTGAATATATTGTTTTATTGTTATGAAAATATAGAAAGGTCTTGCCTTGCTACCAGACTCACTACTTCACATTGTCAATTCCAGAGAAACAGTCCCACCCTAGTTATAGCCACCAGAAGGAGCTGAGCATCAAACACTGGATTCCTGAGTGTTCTTGTGTCCCCAGGTACTACTGAAGTTTTTGCAGTCCAAAGGTGTTCACTGCCTTAAGTGTCCAAGACTAAAGAAAGCTCTTTCTATCAATATAAATGTATCAGTTAAATTCAGTTGTGAATGATATTTAATAATTCCAGGGTCTCTTTACTCTTGTTTTATAATTTGTCACATTACTTTATTACTGTTTGCAAAAGTAACAAATGATATTGCAACAAGGATTCATTTGGGCAGATTAAACCTGCAGAGGGATTTCAAATGCAGGTTTTTGTTCTCTGGAATTAGACATCAGTACCCTGTGGAATTATTTCTGACATTTCATCCATCATACACTCAGAACAAACAAGCTGGTGATGATCTCTTCCTGCTCATAGAACAACTTTCACAAAACCTTCCCAACCTATTAGTGTCAGGAAATTGTGCTTGGAAAGTTCAGAGAAAAAAGAAAATTCTTCTGCATATGAAAGGCAGAAACCTTATAATGTGTCAATAACATGCATTGGGAGGTCTGTTCATATAGAGACCTTTAGCTGGTGTAAATTGGAACGACATCACTGGTGTATGTATATTGATTTAGTTCAGTCCTGGAATTTTCACACAGGAGTGTCTAGATCTACAGCTGTCAGAATCTGGACCTGGTTCTAAAAGTAAAAAATGAAACTGGTATTAGGTAGAATGTAAGGTGGACTTCTTCTTTTCCTCTTTGTTTGAAAAAGTATATTCTGAAGCACATAAGTTTCCATTATAACCTCTTGCACTTTGCTATTTTCAGTCTTTTCTTGAATTTTTGAGCATGTATTTTAGTGGCCTAAGGTTTTCTTTCAGCCAGCTGTTTGGCCAAACATGGCCAAACTAGATTAACTGTATTACATAAATACATCAGTGAAAAAACTATGGGCTACCTCATAATTAGAGGATAATAACCTTTTAAACTCTATTAATTATATTTTTCCTATTAGATCTCAAATAGGTTTCCCATTCTGCATAGGACAGCAAGTATTTTTTTAATTACAAGAGGTTTTTCTCCTCATCCTGCCTCCTCCTCTCCCCTGCTATAAAAGTGAATATAATGTGCTTAGATGTAATATGGTCTCACACTGAAATCTACAATCACGCCCCTAAACTAACAGAAAAGGTAAAATCAACAAAAGGGAGATTCTAGAAACAGAATGCCTGAGTCGATAAATGAGAACAAAGTTTTGAAAAGCATTGCAGAGGAGTAATATAAGATATTGCTGGTGTACTTCTTCATCATTGTTTTCCTTCACTAAAAGTTCTATCAGCTGGGGAGAGTTACTCACGTGTTTGAAGCTGGGTCTAGTTTCTCTGAAATCAGATTCCTTATTCCCAAGACTCCATTCCACAGTGCTAGTACAAACATACATCAGCAGCTGCACAGCATATGAAAGAGTTAGCGAGGACCTAAAAAGCAATTACTCAATTTCAGATCTCTGTCCCTTAATTTCACTGAACAAATCTGAAGCTGGGGGAAACAAAGTCAAAGAAAGCAAAAAAGCATTTTGGAAGACTGAGCATCTCACCTAAGAAGTGAAACTCACCTAGTGCTTAACCTTGTAGGTAAGAAGTGCTGTTGTGAAGAATGATCGCTTTCCCACAAATAAAGCTTTAAAAAGTGCTTGGATCTTTGCTGATGAATACAGAGTGTGCTGGTGCACTGAGCTTGTGTCAGCCTTACTTCTGTCAGGGGCAAGCACAGTTCTGGCTTGGAAAACCGTGTGCAAGTTGATTTCACCTCTGATGGAATCCCCTTAGAGTTAGCAGGGTTGTGATGTGGATGAGTAGGGTAGAATAAAGTGAAGGAAAAAACTAAGTTCAAAATTCTCAGATTAGTTCCTGTGGCATTCACATAATTCTGTCTCTCAGGAAAAGCACAGAGAGGAGAAGAGAAAACAATCTTTATCTCTGCTCCTTTATTTTCTCCATGTGGAGTGTGGTATGGAGATTGTTTACCTGAAGTGATTGCTTGATTGGATTCTGGTGAAGGTTGTTTGTGTTCAGTGACCAATCCAGCTCTCAGTACTCGGACTCT